CCCCAAAACCCCAAAACCCCAAAACCCCACATTACTTTAATTTAAATTGCTTAAAATATTCAATAATGTAATACTTAGTTTTTCCTTTTATAATAAATTGAATAAATATAATTTTACGAATGTTTTAGGAAATTAAATTGAGTTTAAATACTCCTTAATCAATCTGCTTCAAAAATTTTTCTCGAGCTCGATTGGAGTCCATTGATCTAATTTTAACAAAGCAATGTATCTTTCCTTTTTATCATACATAGCATCATTCATCAAGCATGGTGGAATTGCGATGTTCTCCTCATTGTCAAGAAGTGTCTCATCGTTGTCAACTGAAATAACTTTTACGTCTAAGAACCTTCCAAGTGATTAATTCAAGCATCTCTCAGAACAAAATCCATATGAGTTATGTTGAAGTTAAGACTGAGGATATTAAACTATATCATTGGAGGCTGGGATTGCTAAAATTCCAATTGGGACATTAACTACCTTCACTAGCATGTTCTCTGTTGAATATTAAAGAGTATTTGAGTAGTCAACATTTGCTAGTGAGCCAGGATTTAATCTGTATTCAACAAAATTAACTTGTCCATTATTGTTTGATCCACAATTAAATAATAGCCCATGGATTCTTTGATTTTTAACAAGTATTCTATAATTGGCACTGCTACCTGTGAAGTCAGTAAAGTCATCTATGATTTGATTTTCATTAAGGTAGTGAGCTTCAAAACTAACATTTTCAGTAATCTCATTCAAATGAATGTGAAAGATATTCAAAATATTACCTTAAATTTCATTTGTATAAATAAAAGCCCATCTAGAATTTCCTGAGTCATAATTAAAATTATCTCTATATGCTTCAAATTTAATTTTGCCTTGATCTCCTAAGGCAGTCTAGACTCTACCATTATAAACTTCAAGTTAATATTAATAACTATCAAGAGGCAATTATGGTTAAGTCTCCAATGGTATACACTCCAAGGTGTAGAATTCTTCTAATGGAATCATTTTTACATCATATCTTAATCTTAATGTGTGATCTTTGTTATGAATTAAATCATGTCTAAATTTCAGTTCTTCCTCTTTAAAGAGAATTTAATAACTCTCGAAGAAAATACTTTCGCTAGCATTAATAATGTTCTTCTCGCTAGCCTAATTATCTATTAGTAAAATTCCATTGTTATCGTATACCCTTATCAGTACGAGTTCATTAGTATCACTTCTGTAAGAATTGATGTAATAATATAGGGAATGTTCAAGACTTTTTGCAATTTTTCCTCTTATTAAGTATTTAATAGCCTTTGTAATTCTTTGATTTTCCTCATCAAAAATAGTTATTTGCTCTGAACTTGATTAAACAATATCATCATTAGATAATGCTTAACCATGCTTCCTAATTTTTCTTAAAAGTATGAGTTTTGACAAAACAAATCTGTTTCTCTTCAAGAACAGGCTTAAAATTTCAATTTTTTGGTTCTCGCTTTCCTTGCTATAGTCCTATAGTGCTTCATTAACTGCTTGAGATGTATCATCTTGCAATTAGGCTACATTTAATTAGAACTATTTAAGTTCTTCTTCTCGCTTAGATATCAAATCAGGGTGAACAAATATGGGTAATTTTTGGAGTATTTGAGGATCAATTTTGGATTCTTCATTTTAATTATAGGCTGATGTACTCAAAATGTAGTTAAAGTTGACATCCTGATTGTCTTAGTCTTACTCACTGTTCTAGTGACAGTCTGTAGTTATTTTATCATCAACTTTGAAGTTAAATCTGTATCTGTAGCCAGAAAGAAGCTTTGTGTCATAATAGAAGATCTAATTGGCTAGTCTCTCCATAAGTGCTGGTTTCCATTTATTAAACTCACCCTATATATATACTGGCTGGTCCAAGCTAAGAGGTGAGTCAGAATAATAAGCAAATTAAGCATTTACCATCTTCTATTACATTATGGAAGTGGTATCTTAGACATCTTAAGATAAGTCCTCCATATCTTGATCATCCTAAAATTACTAATTAATTTTCACATAAAATACCAATCTTTTCTAGGACTCAACTTGTAATGATTTCTATTATTCTTCGACTAAAATGTCTTCATTTTTAGTCTCTTCATTATGCTATTGCAAGACTTCTAAAGTATAAGATAAAATATTCTTACCTTTGGTTTATTGAAGTGCTTTTCTTTGAGCAAATGCTAGCTTTTTCTTTAACTTTTCATTTTCTCTTTTGAGAACTTCTATTGAGTTTTGAAGAGAGGAATAACCTGAAGTAAGCTCATCAACTTGATTTCTCTGTGTATCAATTTTTTCTAGCAGTTAAGCATTATTTTCTTCACTCATTATCCTAATATGAGTTATACTAAATGGAAATATATATATAAAAGCTTTAAAGTGATTATTAATGTTTATTCATTTTTAGCGATATCCATTCAGATGTAGCTCTCAGGGGTTTTGGGGTTTTGGGGTTTTGGGG